CAGAATCTGCTACATACACAGCCGCTTACTGAACTGTTTAACTGAAGGCAAACTGTAAAGTATAGCACCTCTATTATCTTAAACAATACAACCATCTTACCATTGTGATGCACTAGAGCCCCGTGCTCTATCTTCTTTTTCATGTCATAAATGTGAATTGTTTCATCTTTACTGCCAGTGACTACAAAACGACTATTTACAGCCACGGCTGACAAGGAGGCAGTGTGGGCATGGTGAGTGAAGTCAGCCACAGGAGTCCATTTCTGCTGAAGAGTAAAACCTACCATCAGTGCCACAGTCACATCATAGTGCTGGAGAAACACAGATAAACAGTTCCACGATCTGTGAAAACTACCAAAGGGTATTACCAATGGAAAAGAAACTATGCAATAATATACAGACTTATAAAAAAAAAAAAATCACCTGAGAACGGAATAAGGAGGGCCAGTAGAAGATGAGACAGGAACGTCGGGTATTGTGACTCCAGGATACAGTCATGAAGACTAGACTAGAGTGACTTTTAAGGTCCCATCCAAATCTTTAACTTCTTATATATTTACTTACATGTAAGACTTTCGTATTATTCATTCATTCAAATATATAAATTTTGACTTGAATTTATTGATTCAAATATTGAGTGCCTAGCGTTGCTATGAGTCAGAATTGACCTGACAGCAATGGCTTGGGTTTTTGGTTTTACTAGAACTCGGCTGCTAACCCAAAGGTCAGCAGTTCAAATCCACCAGGTGCTTCGTGGAAACCCTATGGGGCAGTTCTACTCTGTTCTATAGGGTCGCTATGAGTCGGAATCCACTCGACGGCAACAGGTTTTGGTTTGGTTTTGGCACTATTTTAAGCAGTTAAGATATTATTGTTGTTGTTAGGTGCCATCGAGTCAGTTCCGATGCAGCAGTAAACAAAAGAGACCAAAGTCCCTATCCTAATGGAGCTTTCTTTCCATTAGGTAGACAAGAAACACATATAGGACAAGTCTATAAAGAAAAATAAACAGAGTGAGATGTTTCCATTAGTACCAGTATAAGCTGTAGAGAATCACCAATGATTACGCTCACTACCATATAACTTTTGGATTTCATAATGTGATTGGGTGAGGGCAAAGAATGACAGAAGAATACACAAACACAGTATGCCTTACACTGAAGGAGACACACCAAGAAATATCAGCCAAAAACAAACAAGTAAACCCAAGAAAGAAAACAACAACAAAGTTCTTTGAATACACAGGTTAAGATGTGTTACTGCAAATAAATTCCTAAATAAAAGTAACAGATAGTCCTCTGTAATTTTGAGCAAAGGCACAACTTTCTTGAGGGGCTGCTACAACCATAAATCAAAGAATAACTGCTGCCTGTATACATTATGAAAGCAATGTTGACTGTTTAGGCAATTGTCTGCCTAGATTTAGAAGCAGTGGGTAATGAAGGACTCTTGGTGGCAGGCACAGCGGTTAAGTGCCCGAAAGGTTGGCAGTTTGAACTCACTAGCTGCTCTGCGGGAGAAAAATGTGAGTTTGCTTCTGTAAAGATTCCAGCCTTGGAAACCCTGTGGGACAGTTCTACTCCATCCTATAAGGTCGCTATGGGTCGGAATCGACTTGAGACACACAACAACATTGGATACTGGTTAAGAGCTTCAAGAGTCAGAGACATCTGAGGACTTATTTGCTGCCTGGCCTTAAGCAGATCTTATCTAAACTTCTCATCTGTAAAATGGGGATAACTGTATCTGCCTTAGAGAGTTGCTGTGAGGACTATTATATCTCTGGAACATAATAAGCAACTTTATTACAAAAAGAATACAATTAGTAGCATCATCTTTGAATATTCAAACATGTCACCTTTTGGGCAAGGGCCAAAAACAGATTTATACTAGATTCGAAAACAAAATAAACAAAAGCAATTAGTCAAGTCATATACTTCTAATTTTCTGATTAGCTCAAGACTGACACTTTGACCAATGATAAACATGAACCAGGTTTCTAGCAGATACCTAAGATTACTTAAAGAAAAGAATAGTACTTAACTAGAACTCAGGAGAATAATTTCTAATCCTGGGCATGTCCTACCTGTTTGACTACTGACAATTTATTTAACATTTTTATTCATAATCCAGTAAAATAATTATTTTCGGCTCTCCAGTCCTTCACCGTTATGTAGGGATGTCTTCAGGATTCATATCTTTCCCATCTTTGCACTTCCAATGCCTAGCCCACAGTAAGTGCTCAACGAATAATGAAATGAACTGGTGTCACTTTATCTTGACCCAGCTCTAATACTTTGTAAAATTCCACAACAAAAACTGAACTGAATGAGCGAACTGTTCTTGCATTAAATTCTGAATATCTAAACCGCTGTCTACTTATAGGAGCAACTCTTAAACCCACAATCTACGACTCATTTACCCGCGTACAGGAAATGCCAGCTTCCTTCCTTTACTGTGGGTGTTTTATGTACTCTAATAGACAGATATTATCATTTTATGAAATGCGTACTCCATGTTTTAAAAAGCTAACTTTTTACGTAAGTCTCCTGACTATGACTCACCAATTAATCCAAAGACATCACACGACGAACATCAGGTGCTGAAATGTTTACCTCGGCCGTGTGGGAACCAACCTGACCCCTCCCCCGCCTCCGGCGGCCCCTCCAGGCTTCGGCTCTCACCTCGAGGTCGCCGCTCGCCTCGGAATCCCGGTGCACAGCGAACCCAAAAAGGACCTGCTCGTAGCAACCAGCGACGAGCTCCATTCAGCAGCGCACGTTTCCCTTCAAAAAGCCGTGTTCAGCGTAGGACAGGGGACGGCAAGAGGAGCAGGGGCTTTCCTGCGTCGGCGCTGAAATTATACGTCACGGTCGTGGGGCTGCCTTTTAGGGGCCTGTATCCGTGGAAAGTTTCAGCGCTAGGAGATGACGTGGGTTTTCCAAGAGAAGAAGAGGAGGCAACGTCACATGAGGATATGGGTCTTATTGTAAAAAGAAAAAAATTAGGGGAAGCAGGCATATTCTAGGAAGCTGTGAGCTAGGGCCGTCTGAGGAAAGCGGGGCGGAACATTTTCTGCGGAAGCCCCTCATTTCCCTGACGTCCTAAGGCCGGAACAGGGCCAACTTCCGGTCTGGGCCGAAGGAGGCTGCCGCGGTGGCCTTGTGTAGCCGCTCTTCTGTTGTGGGCTGCGGTATAGGTGAACGGGAGTTAGGTTTCTTCAGGACTAGGAGGTTTGGGATTCAGGTTTCGAAGTTACCAGAGCTGGCCGACGTCCGGGCTCTACAAGTCCGCTTCCCGGCCTCCGGCCTGCGCGGGCCTCATATTCCCGCCCTGCACACCTTTCCTTCCAGCTTGGTTCTTGTATCTAACTTTCAGATTGGACCTAGGACCAGTAGGGTTGCAGCGCGTCCTAGGGAGGGAGGAGGACGCGCCCCGTGGGAGGTATAATAAAAACACCGACTTACAGAAGGGGAGCATTCCAGAAGGAACGTTGCCGGTTAGGTGCAAAATCAAACGTTAAATGTTGTTTTTTTTTTTAACGTTGGAGGTTTTCATATGGTATGGAGATTTAGGGATGTGCTAAAATTATAACTTTCACACACGTTTCCAGTAGAGTAAATCTTAGCTCATATAATTGTTAGTTGCTCTCAAGTAGATTCCAACTCATGTTAACCCATGTGTGTGGAGTGGAACTGTGCTTCATAGGTTTTCAGTGGCTGATTTTTCGGAAGTAGAGTGCTAGGTCTTCTAGGGTGTCTCTGGGTGGGTTTGAACCGCTAAACCTTTTGGTTAGTAGTCCAGCGCTTAACTATTTGCGCCACCCAGGGACTAAGTTTAATGAAAGCCATTGTAGGTCGATTTGAAAAGCAGGTGTTAGACGCATACTTGGATGTCAAATATTCAACCCTATTTGAAACGCAGTGCAATCCTTTTCGCATTTTAGACCGTTTTTACTGTCAAGAACGTTTGTTCTCTGACGTTCTGAGTTATCAGTACCAAAAAAAATAAACCCTTTGCCGTGGAGTTGATTCCGACTCATAGCAACCCTATGGCGTTTCCAAGGAGCGGCTGGTGGATTGAAACTGCTGACCTCTTGGTTAGCAGCCGAGCTCTTAACCACTGCACCACCAGGGCTCCAATTAAAACAACATGTACTGACAATTTGGAGTCCTACAGGATTGCTATGAGTCGGAATTGACTCCACAGGAATGGGTTTGGTTGTTTTAATTGATACTGGTTTGGATCTTTGTCAGAATGGCTTCAAAAGATGCTTCGATTGGTTGTCATTGCAACTCAAGGAAGGCCACGTCTTCTATCAACTGTGGCAGCTCCATAATTAATAGTCACTCATCAGAACCTGAAATGCTGTAGTCAAACTAATTCTCAATCTCTTTGAGAATTAATTATTGTATAATAATTCCCTCACCTTGTTCATGCTAGTTCATTGTAATACAAAAAGTCACAAGTTATGTTACTATCTTTTTTTATTAACTGTTTCTTAACTGTTTCCACCAAAGTACCACTAAAGTCAAAGTGTGAGTTCCTGGGTGGGGTCTGTTGGCAGTGGGCCAAAGGAGTAAGTAGAAAATTTTTTTGTCTCATTTTTATCTTAAAAAATGTGATTATTGCATTTTACTCCATGGCTTGTCTGTTCGTTTTTAATGAAAATAATATTCTATCATCCAAAAGGGAAAAAAAAAACAACTTTGAATAAAACTGATGTTTAAAAATCACATGCTTTATATATTCTGTTGGGTGCCCCTGCACTCTGCCTCATTCTCCCAAGGAAGTCTAAACTTTTTGGAAAGTACACCCATTGCCGTCGAGTGGATTCCGACTCATAGCGACCCTATAGGACAGAGTAGAACTGCCCAGTAGGGATTCCGAGGAGCAGCTGGTGGATTCGAACTGCCAAGCTTTTGGTTAGCAGCCGAGCTCTTAAGCACTGCACCACCAGGGCCCCTTTGGAAAGTATAGTAAGAGTTTAATGTATATATTTTGAAATTTTAACCTGACACTATACAGGGTAATTATTCAGTATCTATTAGCAGAGTGTCACACTTAACACCTGCTCTAGTATTTGTCATGTTTCAGAGGAGAAAAACCTTATGATTTGAAAAAGCCTTTTGCTTTAATCAGGAATCTTTTAGAACATACATTAGTTGGTTCTAGAAAGAAAACCAGACTCTAAGCAACATAGGCATAACTCTGATTTTTTTGTTTTTTTTTTTACTTCTAGAAATGAGTGGAATTGTAGATCGCAGAAGGACCTTCGCGTCTAGCCCAGGTGTTCTTAATCTGCAGGATTTATGGATAGGTTTTAGAGACTTTAAATCCCTGAAGTGATACGCAAAACTGTGTGTATGTACATTTTGGGAGGAAAGCATTGATAAAATTTAAGTAAATTTTCAGAGAGATTTGTGACTCATAAAGGCAAAATGCACTAATCCAACATTAACTTACAAATAATGAAATGTTGAGAAAAGTTGGGCTTGAAGCCTGTCTTTAACAGAGAAGAAAGGAGCAGCAGTCCATTGTATTCATTGCCATGGCAGTAGTTTCATAACTTGCTCAGGCCCCGGTTTTCCATTGTCTGGAGAAAAACTCGCCGTGCAAAATTATATACCTGTCCAACTGGCTTGGAATGGAGCATATTTTCTGTAAAACCTTTGTTCTGTTCTCTTTCCAAACATATGATGTCAAAAGCCATTTAATCTTACCCTTGTGAAAACTGCGGTTGCTAAGAAGCAACCGTTCAGAGTTCATTAATCAACACTTTCAGCACAACAGCATTGTTTTGTTTTGCTTTTAAATTATTGCCTGAAAAGCTTTTTGCACTTACTCATGCTTTGATATGCTTGTTCAAATATTGAGTGCCAGCCTTTGTTTGACTCACTAAAGGGGGAAAAAAAAAATCACAGCCAGTTTTCCTTTCTCTGGGGTAGTGGTAAGTCTCAGGGTGGTGCAGATGGTTAAGTGCTAGGCTACCAACTGAAAGGTTTGAACTCACCCAGAGGCACCTCAGAAGAAAGGCCTGGCAATCTACTTGGAAAGGTCACAGCCATGAAAACCCCGTGGACCAGTTTTACTCTGACACGGGGTTGCCATGAGTTGGCATCGACTCGATGGTAACTTGTTTATTATTTATATTTGGTGGTTGTAAGGTGGATATCCTGGGCTAAAAGCAGAAAACAGTAGGGCAAAAATTGGCCCTGTTATAAATACTGTGAGAATCAACTATACCTGCTCAATTACAGTTCATTCTTAATGTGACAGGTAGCAGATCTGCTGGGCTCTAGGAGTTCAGGAGTTGAATAAGGTTGCAGTCCCCAGAGGGCTTTGGTCCCGTTTGTACTTAGGGCCAAGGAGATGCAGAGATAGTGGTCTGCTTCCGCTAGACACTGTCTGCCCTGATAACTGATTTGCTTCATCTGCTTCATGGGAATAATCCAGATGAGATAGGAGAAGTTTGCATTTGGGGCTTTTAGAAAGGGAAATATTTATGATCCCTTCTTTGACACTGTCATCTACAAAGCCCTTGAATGCTCATTTTAATTTTTGGAATCTTGGGGATGGTCTTCTGTACCCCATCTCTTGCCATCTATCTTTCTGTCTGTTCAGCATGATACCTTGGCCCTTCCCTTCCTTAGCCTCCTGTCACCTTATTATCAATGATCAACTGCCACATACTGTTCCAACTACAGCCTCATCTCCCACTCATTCATAGTCAAAATTCTGGGTTCTTTCTACAAAATAAAGTCAGTTTAAAATGAGAGGAGAGAAAAAGATACGTTTTTACAAAAAGAGATTGCTTAAGTCCCTTAATTGATGTATATATATATTTTTGGATGTCTAAACCACTACAGTAGTTAGGAATTATGTTAAATAAGACATCTATTTCTTAAGAAGTCTTGAGGAGGCAATCTAGTGCTGATAATAGGGACTCCACAATCATCAGGTACCCAGATGCCTCTCTTAGATCCAGTATCCTCATGCATGACTTCCTCCTGATGTCACCTCATTGTCCAAGATAGCTGCAGTTATTTTAGCTCCAGCCATCACATCTGTATTCTCAGCACTAGGACTGGGAAAGGGTGGAGGACAAAAAGGCTTCTTTAGCTGAGCAAACTCCCTTCATGCACAGTCTTCCTGAAGCCCCTCAGACCAGTTATATTTACATCTTATTAATTGGACTTTGGCCACTTGGCTACATCTACCTGCAAGGGGAGAGCTGGGAAATGTAGTCCTTTAGCTGGACCTGTTACACCAAAGGAGCCCTGGTGCAGTGGTTAAAAGCTTGGCTGCTAACCAAAAGGTCAGCGGTCCGAACCCACCACCTGCTCTGCGAGAGAAAGATGTGGCAGTCTACTTCCTAAAGGCTACAGCTTTAGAAACTCTGAGGCAGTTCTACCCTGTCCTGTAGGGTCGCTATGAGTGGGAATCAACTCGATAGCAATGGGTTTGGGGTTTATTACACCAAATAAAGTTGGGGTTTTGTTATTGAGGAAGAAAAGGAGACTGAATGTTGGGTGGCACTTAGCAATGTCTGCGACAGCCACTAATCAATAAAAATTCCCTTGAAGACATGAGAAATGCTAGACTATACCACCAGTACCACTTACAGTTAAGCCAGTTCTGACTCAGTAATCCCACGTGTGTCAGAGTAGAACTCTGCTCCATAGGGTTTTCAATGGCTGATTTTTGGAAAGTAGACTGCCGTGCCTTTCTTCTGAGGCGCCTCTGGGTGGACTTGATCCTTGAACCTTTCAATTAGCAGCCCAGCGTGTTAACCATTTGTACCACCCAGGGACTCCTGCATATGGTAAAAACAAAAAACAAACCGTTAACTTTGAGTCCGTTCTGACTCATGGCAACCCCATGTGTGCAGAGTAGAACTGCTCCATAGGGTTTTCTTGGTTGTAATCTTTACAGAAGCAAGACTGCCAGGCCTTCCATGGTGCCCCTGGGTGACTGAACTGCCACCCTTTAGGTTAGCAGCCTATCACAAACCGCTTGTGACACTCAGGGACTTGCACATAGTACCATGGCGACCCTGCAGGACAGAGTAGAACTACCCCAAAGGGTTTCCAAGGAGTGGCTGGCAGATTTGAACTTCCGACCTTTTGGTTACAGCCAAATGCTTAACCACTACACCACCAGGGCTCCTTATACATAGTAGGAGGTCAGTAAATAACTGGTGAGTGATTGAATAATCTGAATTTTGAGTTCATCATGTTTATTATTTTTCACATTACTGGTAAATACAGAATAAGAACTTGACTATTTAGTGGAATAGTTATTTTAAAACAAGTTGCAGGGAAAAAGCCAAACTCTTAAGTGTCTCTGTTTAGACTCAAAAGTTGTCCTCTTATGTCTTGACACTGTGTGACCTTGCTACTTAAAGTGTGTGGGAGCTGGCTAGAAATGTAGAACCTCAGGCTCCACTTCCAATCTATTTAGTCAGAATCTCCATTGAAAGACATCCCAGGTAGTTCGTCTGAGTGTCGAAGCTTGAGGTTGTTGGGTGGATCTCGTTAAATGTAGATTCTGAGGATCTTGTTAAAATGTAGATTCTGAGTCAGTCTGATCTCCAGGTGATTCTTACATATAATAAATTTTGAGACCTACTGCTTCTACTAGTGGTTCTCAGAATTGGTCCCTACTCCCTCATCAGCAGCATTAGCACCACCTGGCACCTCGTTAGAAATGTAAATCCTCAGCAGGGGTGCGAACCTGAACGAACTGGTTCAAAGCCTTGGTTCCCACTCACAGCAACCCTATGTACACCATGAGGCAGTTGTACTCTGTCCTATAGGGTCGCTATGAGTCAGAATCACCTTGCCCGGCAATAGGAAGCTTGAGAAAACCCTGCTGTATATACAGTGCTTTTTAAAAAATACTGAACCACAAAATATTTAAAATTTTTTCCCGTGCCCTCATTAACTAAGAGGAGAGAATGTGATACACCACTTCTCCACCCTCATCCCCCCCATTGATTCTTCCACCTGTGGTGATAATGATTTCAACCTGAAGGGGATAAAAAAGCCCACTAGAACATCAGAAAATGCCCTTGTGGTATTGGTTTCAGTAGTTATTCTTAGGTAACTGGGGGGAAAACATCAAATCATGACATTTATCTTCGTTTCAGTTATTAAAAAGTGACTTCCTTTTCTAGAGTAGGCAAATTCATAGAGACAGAAAGTAGATTAAGTCGTTAGTATAGTGGCCTAGTGGTTAAGTACTGCGGCTGCTAACGAAAAGGTCGGCAGTTTGAATCCACCAGGTGCTGCTTGGAAACTATGGGGCAGTTCTACTCTGTCCCACAGGGTCGCTATGAGTCAATCAGTGTGATGGCAACGAGTTATGGGTAGGAGGGAGAGGGAAGGGGGGTTATTGCCTAAGTGTACAGAGTTTCTGTCAGGGATGCTGACAAACTTTTGAGAGTGGACAGTGGTGATGGTCGCACAACATGGTGAATGTAATTAATGTCACTGAATTGTACCTTTAAAAATAGTTTTAAAACGGCAATGTTTTTGTTACATATTGTATATTTTACCACAGTAAAAAATTTTTAACTGATTTTCTTACGTATTATGGCAGAGATGTGATGGAATCACATCCCCACCCCGCTTCTGTCCCCCGCTTGGGTTCTGGCTGGCTTTCTGGGCCTGACAGGTGGGAGGGGGCTGGCCACCTGAAACTAAAGGAAGGAAGAGTTTCCAGAAATTCCCTCAGGTGACCCTGATGCACCCCTGCCCCCACCCACGGTTTAACCCATTGTATGAAAGTCAAGCAATTCATTACCTAGCAGGAATTGTCGATCAATTTAATTACCTTCCATCTCTGAGGTAGTTGTGGGAGAAATTCACCAGTGTTGAGAGTTCTTAGCAAAGCAGCTGGAATTTTTCTTGCAGGAGCAAAAATTGTGGATTCCTGGTCTCCTTTTGTCAAGTTCTGGATAAATGGCTGGACAGAACAGTTTTGCAGGTTTTGACATAGCTCAACAAAATCATTATTACTGGTACTGGCAAAGGTGAGGGCTTTTTTGCTGCTCTGAATGGAAGTGAAAGCCCCAGTGTTCTATTTCTGACATAATTTTTGGTGACTTGCAAAATATCACTTTGAAAATAGGTGTCCTTAAACAGTTAAGGTGGAAATTGTCTTTGCTTGAAACTTCCTGGAAAGAAGTCCCAGGGTTTGTGAATGATTCTGCTTAGTTTGGTGACTTCTCATCCCTCTCGTCCCCCCTCGAGTGTTAGGGTGAAGCGAGAGTTCCAGCCACTGCAGACTTACCGCTGTGGTCCCTGGTATGAGCGACAAGAGGGCAGTTATCCTCCTTCTGGCTACAGCTATGGCTGCGCAGAGGGCGGAAATGGAGACAGTCTTCTTTCTGCGCAGGGGACCCCAGAACACCCAGCTGGAACTTCGGTTGTTATATCCGAGGTATCCCTTGATGAAATGAATCCTGTGCTGTTTGTGTGCCCAGTATGTAGACATTATTTTCATTTCTTCACTCATCCGAGTCCTCTCATTCAAATTCCCACAGCCATGGTTGGTGTTTGCTCCCTATGTTAATACCGGGAGCCCTGGCAGCGCAGTGGTTAAGCGCTCTGCTGCTAACTGAAAGGTAAGAGGTTGGAACCTACCAGCTGCTCTGTGGGAGAAAGATGTGACAGTCTGCTTCCATAAAGATGACAGCCTTGGAAACCTTATGGGGCAGTTTTACTCTGTCCTATAGGGTCGCAATGAGTCGGAATTGACTCCCTGGCACCCGGTTTTGGTTTGGTTTGATGTTAATTCCAGGAGTTCCAGGGTAGTGCAAACGGCTAACACTCAGTTGTTAAGTGACAGGTTGGAGGTTCAAGTCCACCCAGAGGCGCCTTGGAAGAAAGGCTTGATGATCTACTTCCAGAACATCATCCACTGAAAACACTGTGGAGCACAGTTCTACGCTGACACAGGGGGTCACCATGAGTCAGTCAACTTGATGGCAACTGGTAATACTAGAGAGTAAATAAAGCTGATGACCTAGGAAATTGTAACTTGCAAGCAATTATAAACTCTCACTTTCTTCCACAAAGTAATTGTCATCCTTCAGCAGATTTTACTCTTAAACACTGAAAATAGGACAGGAAGTAGTTTTTTGTTTTGTTTTGCTATAGCAGTAAACATTAAGACACTTTAAGAAGATTTTAAATATTTTGACTACTAAAGTAATGTACTTTTAAAGTTACACGAAGATGCAATGGAGAAAGGGAAAGCCTTCCCCCACCCCCAAAAACCTCTGCACCTACAGGAAAGCTCTGTTAAAGTGGATCTTCATCCTCTAGATTTTCCCCCTATGCTCGTGCTAATCCAATACACTGGGCTTTGTCTCTGGGGAGGTGAAATGTTTTGGGTAAGAATGGACTATACAATACTTACTGGTTTGCTCCTTGCTTCTGCTTTATATGTTGTATCGAGAGCTTTCTTTAAAAAGTGTGCGTTTAGATGTGTTGTGATTTAGCTCCTCTCTTATCACCTGGGGGCCCTGGTGGTGCGGTGGTTAAGAACTCAGCGGCTAACCAAAAGGTCGGCAGTTGGAACCCACCAGCTGCTGCTTGGAAACCCTATGGGGCAGTTTCCTCTGTCCTACAGGGTTGCTATGAGCCGGAATCCACTCGACAGCAGTGGGTTTGGTTTTGGTTTTCTTATGGACTGATACTATTTGCGGTGCTTTCACAAACTTACTTTTACCTATTTTCAAGCATTTGAACTTTTTTTTTTTCCCCCGCTAATAATAAATTTTTGAAAGTGGAGGTGCTGGATTAAAGGCTATATAACATTTACAGTTTTAAACAGCTGTTGCCAATTTTCTTGCCAGAAAGCCTCCTGAGTTTACAGTTTTCATCACTGTTGTGGGTGTGTTTGCTTCCTGGTGTTTTGATGTGGAATCAGCCAGTCCCCAAAGTGAGAAAGGCATTTGTCTATTACTGAGGGCAAGCATCTTTTTAACTGTTTATTGACTGTGTTCTGTGACCTTTTCTTCTGTTGGGTTGTGCCCCTTTTTTTTGACTGTAACAGATTCATGTTATTATTGTTAGTTGCTGTTGAGTCAATTTTCCAACTTTTGGTGACCCCACGTGTGCAGAGTAGAACTGCTCCACAGGGTTTTAAGATTGTGACTTTTCAGAAGCAGATCACCAGGCCTTTCTTCCAAGGGTCCTCTGGGTGGGTTCAAACTGCCAACCTTTCGGTTAATAGTCTAGCGCTCCTAAGGGACTCCTAAGATATTTATATATTAGGGAAATTAGCACTTTGCTGCCAAAGTGTTGTCAATATTGTCCCTAGTTTGTTTCCTACATATCCACAGTGATACCCTTTTCGTGAGGGTCTTTACCTTAACACTTGAACTGAATTTAGACCCTTGGTTTTTAAAACTTGCGTTTGCTGGATATTTTTCTCCCAACTTTTCATTTTCAATTTTTCAAGTCTGTTTTAGGTGCGCTTCTTATATAAAATATCTAGTTGGATTCCTTATCTTTCCTTCTTCTTTCTTTTTTAATGAACTTTAGGTTTTACTCTTGGCAGATAAACTTGCTGTTGAGTCACTTTGGCATCACTTTTGTTTTTTTTATCTTTGCTGGGTTGTCTGGGGTTTTATTTTTTCTTTCACACTTCCCTTTTTGCTCTTTAGGAGGGGGTCTGTCTTCTAGCAGCTATATTTCTATCTTTAAATAGGGAAGTACAGGTTTGAGTATATTATCAACTTCAGAAATGACACTATCTTTGGATTTCTCTCCACTGAGGAGAAAGTTCAGAATTAGCACTCTTGTTACTCTCCCTGCCACCCCTGCTCTCCCTTCTTCTCTCCATCCCACTCCCTTGTTAAATTATTACCATAGCCTGCACTTTTTCACTTGTGAAATAGAATTATAAATGTACTGTGTGGTGTGACTGTGGTTACCACGTTTGTGGCCTGGTGTGTTCCCAGTTAGGTGACTAGTTAGCAGACCTAAAGATAGACTCTGTGGCCGCCCCTCTTTCGGTCACACTTCCTCATTTTAGTCTTCCCTAATAAAGTATGTCCTTTATGGGATGCCATACTTTTATGTCCACCTCCACAACAGTGTGCCCCTGTCCTTGATCCATATCTCCCCAAGTTAATGGGTTAGGCCCCCTGAGCACCTACTGCTTGTAACTTGCTTATGATTGGAGAAAACGTTTGCCTTCAAAATGATTCTCAGGTTTTGGCGGTCCATCAGCACAACCTTTTCAAACTACCGCTAACAGGGGAAAACCAGCAGCATACACTGCCCAGGTGGACCTCACAAAGCATTAGTGGCCTGGTGTGGCCCAGTTCCATCTCAGTCTGGGGGAGAAGAGATCTGTGTTGCCCCTCAGGGAGTTCTGGACATGCGCTGGGGGTGAGTGGCTGTTCTGTTTGCTGCTTGAGTTTTTAATTCCTTTGTGTCACTTCCAGAGAAAATGCTCTATTTCCAGATGGTTTCTGTTCTCACTCTGGTAACTTAGGGTCCACATTTACCCCAGCATACACTGAAAAGGAGGAAATGCGAGGTTACCTGGACACTGTATTATAGGAAAAGCTTCATTTAAGCACAGATTCTGGTTGGCCTAGCCATTTCTAAATAGAAAAATTACAGATGGTGTGATTAAATTTATGGTAACCATATACCATATTTTC